TTTTCGCAATGAAACGTTGAAATAAGGGCGAAAATGCAAAAAAATTAAACGTAAGACGTTTTACACAATAACTGTCAAACGTAGGGATGTTTTGTGCTAATAAGCCTTATATTGTATGTTGATTTTGTTTGGAATCGGTTGGAATGAAAGTGACCTACATCACTGAAATGTTGACAATTTGTATTGGAGAGTTTCATGTTATTTCGAGAATTACATGCTAGTGGATGGAGATGGAGAAGAAAGTGTCATTACATTGAGTCTTCTGAAGGTGTCTTGTGAATTACGAATGTTGTTTATGTGTCTTTTTCATCTTCGATCATCCTCGAAACACTTTTTATTTACGTGTCTACTTTTCATATGTTCATTACGATGTTTGCTAAGTGTTTCTCCCCTTCAGTTGTGATTTAGTTCTCTGTCATTGTGTGAATTGGTATGTCGAATTAGCTATTACTGGAGTTGACAACGCTATGTAGTTTAGTCCCATCGTAGAATGGCCTGAAGGAATGTTGGAATATTTCATAGTTGCAGATCTAAAAGCCAATACTTTGCCGAATGCCCACGGAAACGCCGATGTCCATCGTGCAAGCATGGATTTGAGAAATTTTTCGTGGTGGAGAAGGAGATTGCAAATGAAGGGCGATTATTTCTTTGCTGCAGTGACAACTGTGGTTTTTGGGAGTAGGTTGTAAAAGAAAAGTCAAACGGTAAAACTTCTTTATTTAACCATCCAGCTGTCGAAAGAGTTGATGATTTGTCGCAAATGTTCCAATTTTCCATTCGCGTGAACGATGAAATAGACCTTCGAATTTCGGTGAACGTGACGGTATGCAAGACAAAAGATAACACAGAGTCAAACACACGAGTGGAGGCGTCGCCTGGGTTAGTAGTTAGTAATCGAACGATGACATGAACTTTGGTATATATAGGACTATTATTACCGAATCTATGTGAAATATGTTCGTAAACAATTTGTCATGTACATTTGGAAGTGTTGTTATTTTTATGAATGAAATGATCACCCAAAACTTCATGCCTAACACTGCAAAGTACCAAGTTAAAAGTATATAAATACTCTGAGCAATAAATATAGATACTATAGAAAACATGAAGAGAAATGTCCCAATGATCTAAACCGAGGCCTTGCAAACCCAATCTGATTTGCAACGATAGAAGTGGAGCTTTTAGAAATTCCTACTATGTCGATTTTGGTATCAGCATATCCAACATAAATACATGTGAACATTGTACACTAGGTCTACATGAGTTGAAATTCATCTGAGGCTATGTAGTACCACTTCAAGGCTCCAACTCCTAGTTAGATGTATACAGGTTTAACGTTGTTAGGCCCAAAACTTGCTAAACATGTATACAAGTTTGACGTCGTTAGGCCCAAAACTTGCTAAACATACTGGGCACTTGTGGTGATGCGTTTCAAGAATTCCTTTTACACAAGTATTGCAAAACAGATGGAAGCATTTTGTGATAACCACCTGAAAATAACAGTTGCAAGCTCAAGAAATATAGCATGCGAGTACACCGATATAGCAGAATTTAAGTTTTGAAATACAAACATATATCTGTTCATGTGTCCCAGAATCTAGTGGGATAAATTATCCAATCCCTAGTTACTTTCAAACAACTAACAGAGAGGTTAATTTCGAAAGAGTCAACTAACTATTCCTCAACAAAACAGCAATTGAACTTTTCCAATACAAACGGAAGAATGGTTTCGTCAATCTCAAACAGCAACTGGACTTTTCTAGTCCGCCAAGGCAGAAAAACTCAAAAGAGTCCATGGCAAAAAAGTGCTACAAAGAATACCAATCAAACTAGTTAACTCACAATGCATCCGCGGTCCATTGAAACGATATAAATTGTATTTTACATAGCCCTGTCTTGATCGGTAATTATTCCAAGAGGAACTTTATTGTGTATACACTAAAGCCATGTTCTGAACAATCACACGAAAGTATTTGTGTCTTCGTTCGATACCAAACCACAACTAAGTAGTGTTGATTGTCCGTGACGATTGACGCCAACAAACGGGACAAAAGGCATGTCATACTTGTTTGTGAGGTAAGTGGTATCAAATGTAACAACGCCGAACTCCTTATATGCTTGCCTACAACGATTATCTGCCCAAAATACATTTCTCAGCCGCGAATCCTTCTCCAAATCCATGCCGAAGTAAAATCCCGAGCAATGTGCTTGCATCTTTGAAAAATATGATTGTATTGCTGCGGCATTTCCTTCTCCAAGTCTTAATCGTCTCACTTTTTTAGTGTAATTCCGACAATCTTTTTTCAAGCAACTCATGTTCTCGTATCCACCAGCTTCTACGACTGTAGAATTGTAACT